TTCCTGCTGCAAAAACAACAATACCGAAAGTAAAGGAATTCATAGTTTTGCATCTTTTGGTTTTGCTTTTGTTTCCCGAGCCAATGTGTTATGATCTAACGGACCAAAATTCCATGTCATTCACCTAATCTTCTGCATCAGCATTTCTTCTCCAATTCACTTAACATTCAGAATATCCATCTGATTGTTGGACCAAACTTGTAAATACTTGTGAATGTCCAGTACATGTTCACATGTTACCCAAATGCATACGCATGGATGGGACTGGGCTCCACAGCTACACTGGCTGTTAAGAACAGCAAATCTTGAAGGACTGTCTGTAAATATAATGGTAACAAGGTTCTTTCACCATTAGTGAGGACAGCAATACAGAAATCAAATTGTTAATCCTAAATTTTTCTTTTCCTAAAAATTGTTCTTTTCCTAAATTACAGCAGTGATCCAAAGACCAAATATGCTGCATCTCCCTGAGCTACACCTACACCATCTGAAATATTTTGTGCTTGTTTTAACTATTGCAAAAAACTCAGTGTCCTTACCATTTCTTGGAGATCCTTTTTGGCTTTACAGACTATCCCAGAATTAGTTTCCTGGTCTTTTCCCTACTGATAAAGAACTTAGAAGATATGGAAAAATTGAAATATAGTCATTTTCTTTGCAGAGTCAGCATACATTTGGAGAGGAGAGTATAGGGGTGGTTGAGTGGTTTTATTTATATTACTATAAGACAACTCATATTTACAATGTAATTTTCAGACAGGTAACCACTTTTCATATATACTTAAATAGCTGAAGGTGAGGGTGATTAATATTAAAATAAATCCAAAAAAGTGTTGGGAAACATTATTATGGTACTTTTAGTCATCATGAGATATTTCCTGCTTAACAGTGTGGACCTTATAAATGCTTGAGTTTCCTATCAAACTAATCAATAGAATAAAATAAATATTTTTTGTGAGTTTTATAGACTTTGTGCCTGTCTTCAGGCCTGCGTCTCTCTTTATAAGAACGTTGGGTTCATTGAGAAGCTGGTGGCAGGCGGGGGGCTGTAATGCTGTCCTTCGCCAGAGTGCCATGAGGCTGCCTGCGCAGCGCACTGTCCTGCTCCGGTGACGGCTTTACAGCTGGATGCAAAGAGAGCAAAAGCATTCCACAGAGAAACTAATGCACTTATAAGGACCAATAACAAATCCTGCAAACAGTTAAATATATAGATAATCTGGCTAAAGCCAGTGATGTTGCTCATATGTATAAACTTTCACTGGCCTAAGGTCTAACATTAAAGCTAAAGATAGTAGAACAGATGCCAGTATTTTAACAGGAAAATTACCTCTTCTTTCCTTTAAGAGTTATGTCAAAATATTGAGCTTTATTGTTATTATAGAGATATATATTGCATGACCATAACTGTTTTCCATATAGTAATTGTAATTTATAAAAACACTTTTATCCATTTGTTCTGTGCTGTGGAATTTGATTTTTTTTACTTTTTTTGCATTCATTCCCTCATTAGACACTGAAAGAGTTTTATCAGGTAAGGAATTATTTCACTGCATTTTTTTTTTTAGCTATGAACTAGTTGTAAAATATCATAGATAATTGGGTATAAGGTTGTGGCTCTTTTCATGCTGACTTACTGTTTTTTAAGACATTTTATGTATATTGATACTTACTAAAGTATGATGTACATCATTAATTTTTTTTTTCAGGAAATCCAGAGCTGTACTGTAGATCTAGGTATTACATCAGACAGCTCTAATCACCCCGACAACAAGAATAAGAATCGATACATAAACATTGTTGCTTGTAAGTAAATGCTTCATTTGGTGTTTTGTTTAAGAAATAATTATATACAAGTGTAGATTTATATATTATCAGAGGGAAAAGAAAAATACCTCTATACTGAAAGCTCTGGCTACTGTTCAGCAAAATGCTCGGAGAGGAGTAGCGTGAGATTTCATATCTCTTCAAGTTAGTCCTCTGGCATTCTGCCGCTTTGATGAGCATGTGTTAGCAAGACATATTTGTGTCTTCTGTGATGACCCAAAGGGAGCTGGGAAATTTCATTATAACACCATTATAAAGCCAAAGAAGCCGTGTTTTGATTGCCAAAATTAATCCATCTTTGATCTGGAATAATGATGATTTATCTTCTCTAGGAGCTTCACAATCCCTGGATATATTTACTGTCATATATAAATGTAAATGTTGTGTTTTTATGTTGTATTGTTCCCTGCCACAATGTAAGAGATCAGCTTCATTAGCCAGGACATACATTTTCCCATTGTGTTGCCCTTCTTCACCCTCCCAGATTTTTCTTTTCTAGAACACATCTATTCATTTTTTGTTAATCTCTCTTTGAAGCTATTGCCTCTGGGCTCTTGATCATTTTGGTGACTTAATATATTTTTCTTAACTGTCTATAGTATTTCAACTTTTTTCTGATAACAAGAAGCTCTAAATGAAATATATGTTCAGCATTCAGCATCACTAGATCTTAATAGAAAAAGAGACAGAAGCAGCCCATCTGGCAGAAGACAACGTAAACCAGCAGCAAGAAATTCCATTCCACCTGGCTGAAGATACCTCTAGAGGGAAGGAAAGTCAGGGATTTTCCTCTGCCACTCAGTGTTTGTACTTGATGGTACAAAAGGTGCCAGCCCAGGGGCTTTGTTATCAAAGAGCAGCACGCAAGCAGCTTAGGGCAGCTCAAGTAGCAAGAATCACCCTGTGCAACTGAATCAGGTCTCTAGTTTGTCTAATCAATGCAGGCTACAGAAAGCTTCGGCTCATCCTACAGCAGTCACTGCCAAAGCTCTTCAGCTGACTAGCTTCTCCAAGGTTGCATCACTTTCCAGGCTCCAGGCTTGGAATGACTCTGCGTAAACACTGGTGCCTACTGTTTGTGACATCCCGGGGCAGCCAGGACCCCACAGGCTTGGCAGTCACAGCACAGGGCTTACGGGAGACCCGTGTCCCTTCACAAGTAGCAGCTGGAGCTTCAAGGGGAATATGTCATGGTGCCTAAAATGACCCCAGGTGCTGCTGTTCAGGCAACTAAATTCTGAATCCTTGAATCCTTGGATTCATTAGTTTATTCTTCTGGAAACTAGAATTTTGAATCTGATTCATACCTAAGCACAGGGTGTTTGCATATGTGATTGCCACTGTATTAGTCTTATGTATTGTAAAAATCCATTTCAGTATTTTTAAAAAAGATTTATTATAGAAAGTATAATTTTTGCAGACAACTATGCTTATTTTCTCCCTTGTTTTACTACAGATGATCATACTAGGGTTAAATTAGCACAGCTTGCAGAAAAGGATGGAAAACTCACTGACTACATTAATGCCAACTACGTTGATGTAAGTGCCTTTTTCTATCTGCCAAGCCCATTCATCTGTCAGCCTTTTCTGTAAATACTGATATATGAAAGTGAATAGACTTAATAAAAAAAAAAACCCTAGCACAATATTACAGATTTTGTTAAAAAAACCCTTCAATGATACAAGTTAAGCTTACAAAGTTAAAGCACAGGTAAAACTCCAATTCTTTCTTGAATCCATCTTGATATTGTGGCAGCTGCAGCTTAGTGAAGAGCTTTGTGAAACCAAAAGTGTTCTGTCAAATCTGAGTCATTTCAGAAGCATTTTGCATCTGAATGTTTGTTCTTTTATACAGTTTTGGTAAGTGTATCTTCTGTCTGAGATAATCTCATGAGAGAAAGATGCCATTTGGCTGAGAGCCTCATTGAGGTATCATTTATTCAGTTTTCATTGCGCAGTAATTTACATACAAATGATCTTGATTCATTTTTTAAACCACTATCATAACAGATGTCTCATAATCACTATCATGTCAACATTCTGCCAGAACACGGGCACTTGAACATACATCCTATTTGTTGGAATGATAAACATTGACACAACAGTTGTGTTCATATGTCATCTGATACCACAGGGTTTCTGCCATTTGGATAGTTATAAATTCAAAAGTACTTAAAAGCTTTTGAGATTCTTTAAAAATAGATACATAAAATGTCATGTACTCCTCCCAACCTCCTTTTGCTTGTGGACTGTGATTTGACAAGTGTCATTTGTTGCATTTCAATTTAGGGCTACAACAAGCCAAAAGCCTACATTGCAGCTCAAGGGCCACTAAAATCAACAGCAGAAGATTTCTGGAGAATGATATGGGAACATAACGTAGAAGTTATTGTGATGATAACTAATCTCGTTGAGAAAGGAAGGGTATGAGTACTTTTGTTTGTTATTTATTTCTCTGATGTTGATAGATCTACCTCTAGCAGACTTCCCTCTCTCTTTTAAAAATCTGGTTTAGGCATTTATTGAACAAAAAGCAGCAGTTTGTAGTAGTTACTTGTACTAGGATTGACTATAGAAGTATAAAGATGAGGATTTGTAGTATGAAACTAAAGAAAGCATTTAAACTCAATTGTCAACAACTGAAGTCTTGAAAATACTATGGTCTAACTACAAAAGACTGTTTTATACTGAAACAAACACTTCTTGTATATATTTAAGAGTGGCCAAACTGTGGATCTTGCACTACATTCTGCTAGCAGTCTGCTCTCTGTCCTTCTCTTTCTCAGGGGTGCCTTAGACCCTACAAAGACAGCCATAGTTTGGGTGAATTTTCCCGGATATTCACTGACTGCTCCCTGTTAACATCCTGTGGGACCCACAGTTCCTTTCCTACTACATGCCTAGATACACGTTTGTCCAAAATGAGGTCAAACCCTATCACAGGATGTGTGTTTCTCTGGTTATGTGATGGGAGTATGCATGTACCCTGGTGTCACATGAGGAGACATTGCATCACACTTGCCACATACTAACAGCTATGTCTAAAATGCATGTAAATCTTGTCATATGCCCAATTAAGTGTCTATCAGATGATAAGAGACACAAAAAATGCAGACAAGGGCTGCACTGGGAGTCCCACTTCATTTATAATACCATGCTATAAATATGTACTCTACTAGTGCTCCTAGAGAAGGCTATATGGCTGCCCAACAAAAAGGCTGGACATCACAGCTCTGTACTATGTATTCTGGCCATGCACAAGCTCACTCTTACCCTCGCTGATCAGATATGGGCAACCTGGTCTAGTGGAGGGTGTCCTTGCCCATGGCAGGGGGGTTGGAACTAGATGATCTTTGAGGTCCCTTCCAACCCAAACCATTCTATGATTCTATATAAGTATACTCTACCCATGCTATGAACTGAGCAAAAGCCACATATAACTCTACAGACTTGAATGTATTCCTATTATTCCTATAGATTATATGTTATTTTCTTTAGATTTTAGAGTGCCTACAGAATGGCAAGTTCCACAACATTAGAATGCTGTAGCTCTGATAGTGTGATATAAACCTCTCAATTTATGAGTATCCCAAATAAAGAACGTCTTTGCACAGCCATCTCTCTACAGCACAAAAAAATACACATTATTTGTTCTCTTGCACTGAAGATCATGTCTGTTATAAACTAGACATACTGAGAGTCCTTTTGCGTTTCTGGTTGTCTCTGCTCTAAAATTTGAACATTTCAGCTTGCTAGTTTTACATTTTATTTTCTTTCCCTTTTTCTCTGTTTTTCATTTGCTTTCTAACAGAGAAAATGTGACCAGTACTGGCCTGCTGAAGGTAGTGAAGAATATGGGAACTTCTTGGTTACTCAGAAGAGCATTCATGTACTTGCCTACTACACTGTGAGGAATTTTACTCTTAGAAACACCAAGATCAAAAAGGTTTGTGGCATCCTGAAAACATAGTTTGGGCAAAGGGGAGTGTTAAAAGTTGCTGAGAATATTTTTAAGGCAGTCGGCAGCTCTTCTGTTGTATACGTAAAGCTGAATCCTATAGGTCTCAGCCAGCCAAGATGCTCGTCAACTTCAGTAAATTTGACCATATCAACAAACTGAGAAGACACTGGCCTGTTGTACTGGTGTGACGTAGGAATCAGGATCAGGAAAAAAGCAGCAATCACACTGGAGAGCTGATGTGGACTTTGCCGGCCTGGTGAGCAGGAGGATACATTTTCAGAAAGAGAGCAGCTAGCAGAAAATGAATTAAATTATCCACCTCAGCTATCCATTTGGTTTTTTTAAGCATAGATGAATCTAAACCTTGTTTTACTGTAATCAGAACCAGCATAGTCTCAGCTCAGCAGTGTGACATTGGCTGCTTTGAGGGGGATTCTGAAAGCCAGTTGAGGGGGATTATTTCAGCCACCTAAATGTTAGACATCTAGTCTCTCAGCCTCCCTGTACAATTAATGCACAACGTACAGCACTTACTGTCAAGTAATTTATTCTGCCTATTTTAGGAACCAATCTTTGAGATGACCGGCTCTCTGAAGGTGTCCCTGCCTCTGGGTTGCCATTGAGGGAGGGAGCTTAGAAAAGCAGCCTACACAAGGCTACTTTCCTTGTAGATCACTAAAGCTGGGTGAGATTAATCCTTCTCTTTCTGTCTATCCAACAGAGGAGCAGAGTGGCAGAAATAGCTGGTGACTCTTAAGAGCAGCTGTAGTTTGTTATCCCTCCTGTGCTCTTAACCTTTCTCTATGGCTTTCAGAGGGACAGTGCCAGGTCATTTTTCCAGTCAGTGGGCAAGCTGAGGGGACAGAAGCACTGGCCTTTCCTCTTCTCTTTGAAAGGTGGAATATTCAGAGCCAAGTGGCATGCTGTTAACTAAATAGGGACAGTACTAATTCAAGAACTAGCTGGTATGTAAATAAAATTATGAAGAGCTGCCTTTCACATGTGGGCTGCTTACAGATGGAATGATTTTTCTGTTGCAGGGTTCCCAGAAAGGGAGGTCTAGTGGACGTATAGTAACTCAGTACCATTATACCCAGTGGCCTGACATGGGTGTTCCAGAATACACGCTGCCCGTGCTCACCTTCGTGCGGAAGGCATCGCATGCCAAGCGCCACGCTGTTGGGCCTGTTGTGGTTCATTGCAGGTGTGGTTTTTACTGCCGTAAGGTTCACTCCACTTTTGTTTTGCAGAAAAAAGAATTTTTCAGTGGTGGGTTAAGCAAAATTTCACTCTCACATTTAACAATTCCTGATGGAATAAGATTAATTTCTTAGCTGATATTTCTATCCTTCATAAGGCCAACTAATCAACTGTCTGTGCCACTTCTATAAATCTCCGTAATGGCTGCAAACAAGATGATGCTACTCTGCACTATGTTCCTTTTTTTTGCAAAAATGCTTTTCTTTTTACTTTTTTGCACATTTCTGTACTACTCTCTTGATTGCTATGAGCTTACCAGATACATATATAGCAGTAATTGTTTCATTTCTGCAAAGATATCATTAGGATGGTTTTGGCTCATGCTTTCTTTGGTGCAGGGATACTCTGTAATCCTAAGAGGAGCTCTGTCTACAAGAGAAGACTCTCTCTATTCCTGGCTGAACTACAACTCTGCTGTTTTTAACATTACTCTGCGCTCTAGCAGTCATTTGCAATGGAGGAGCATTCTGGGGAACGGTTTGAGGTCTGCATGTGCCGCAGCGTGCAGGCAGGTGTTCTGTCAGTGCTCACTAAAACTGGGCAGCTCAGGGAAAATTGGTTAAAAAGGGCTTGTAGGGCCTGGAATGACTTCACAATGCCCGTGAAGGACCAGGTTATTGTAAAATATATAAGCAGGTTCTGGTTTTCCACTGTAGTACCTCACCTTTGATGGAACATTTGGAAAGAGAACCTCCTCATGAATTCTGTCCTTCTGGAGCTGACTCTGAGGAAGCCAACAGGTAAAGTCGCCTCACAAATGCTGCAAATGAAGATATTTTATTTCTGGGATAATCTAATCTGACTGAAATCTGTTTTTAGCTCAGAAAATGAAAATTCCACATTTTGGTTGTTCCGCTGCTATCTACATCCTGCTGTTCAAAATAAGAGTTTCCCCAAAATACCAAGTCTGAGATCTATACTAGCGGGCTGAGAGATCAGCAATACATTATAGGTCAAGTAAATTGAGTTTTTAAAAAGTGAACTGTGGTAAGTTGTGTGGCTTCAGTCAGACCTCTCCACTGGGTCATAGGTATAACTCACCTCTGTCTGTAGGCAGTTTTATACGGCTTTTAGTTCACCCATCCCCATGCAGTATGGAATTTCAAAGGAGTCATCTCATGTTAGAAATGTAACTTTTATTTATCTTTACAGGCTATATGGAGGACACATATGAGGAACTTCATGAAACTTTTTTTAGCTATGTTTATGTTTCGTTACGTTTTGTGTTTTGTCTTTCATAACAAGTACAGACAGCATCTGGTAATCTTTATACTTTTTTGTGTCTAATAGTGTGTTGATAACCTGGACCTTTCAGTTTTATTTAGATAGGTTATTAAAGCAATCTGAGCTCACATTACCCATGCTTTGTGCCACCTCTGTGGAAGAAATGAGATGACTGAATTAGCATGTATGGACTGAGCTTGGATCTACCCATAAGGGAACATGCAGAACCAGCCTAGTGTTGCTGTCACGTTACATGGACCAATGCACATAACATTTTCACCTAACTTAGAGGGGAATTACAACTGACTAGTTCCCATATATGACTAGAAAAAAATATGACCTCTTGACTTTTTACTCCCTACTCAGGTATTTTATGAAAGAAAAAGTTGGGGGGTTATCTTGCAATACAGCCATTTTTATGCTAAATGAGTCAGAGTTCATAACAGGAGTGAGGCGATTAACCCTTTCTTCTGCATCTTACCTTTTTAAGAAGGGTTTCAACCATTGCTTGCCCTCTCATCTGTATCTGGAGAGCATTAAACTTTTTCTCTTACAGACGTACCTTCTCTGCCACTTCCTCGGGTTTTCCTCAGTTTCGTAGCTTTGAAATTTCCCATATCTGTAATGGGTGGCATAATGCAACTTTCCCTTTAAAGTGATGTGTGTTTCAACATTGAAGAACTTGGGCACATCATTAACAGTGCTCAAATGCTGACAGATGCTACCCTATCTAGGTATACTTGACAAAGTATCCTAAGGAATATCAGAAGCCTGAAAACTGCAGAAGTGTAGGAAACTGCTTAGTTCTGTTTCACTTGGTACTTTAAAAATTGTTTGAGAAAAATGATCTTTAAATCTATTCTTGCACAAAGAAAAAGAAGAGTTGAAAAGATTTTTCTTCATTACCAGCCTTGAAGTTTTAGCAAAGCATATCATATAATAAAACAAATTG